GAAAATTTGGAACTCAAAATCTTGTGGAAGTAAATGTTGAAAACAAAAATATAAATAAAATCTTAAAAAAAAAGAAAAAAGAGTACTAGGCTTGGAGTCAGAAAATCTGGTTGAAAGCTCTGGCTCTAATACACTGGGCAAATCACTTAACCTCTCTGAGTCTCACTTTCTATATCTATAAAATGGGATTAATAAAAGACTTGCAGTATCTATAGCACAAGGCTGAGGCGAGGATTAAATGAGATGAGTACTTTCATTTTTGTATTCCCTCACAGTACCTGACTGACACAGAACATCCCACATCCCCTAGCACTCCATAAATAACTATTGAATCACTTGAATGAATGAATATTATTTAGAAATGCCAGTGACTTTGAAGTTTTTTCTTCCTAATAGAGGCATTATCAGTGCAAGATTAAGTTTGGGATGAGGCCCTTGAATTACAAAATAAGCAGACGTCCAGGAGAGAAATAACCCTTCCTCCTACAGTCTATGCCATGTGCCTTCTGCACTCTGCCCTGTGCCCTGCAGACAGCCTACTTTTGTAGCCCACCTATGATACATCTACTGCCCCTGACCCTTTGTACGAGCTGTCCTCCATGTCTAGGACACACTCCTTCCTCTCATCTTGAAATTCTTAGCTTCCTTCAAAACTCAGCTCTTGAATGAGGCTTTTCCTTATTTCCCTAGCATCTGTTGCCTACCCTTCCCAATTGCTTCATATTTACTTTGAATATATTTGGTACATAACTGTATATGTACATGCTGTTTCCTCAAGTAGAACAGATGAATTCACTGGATAGTAGTCAGATTTGTCACAATTGTTGTTTTCATTCCAGATCTGTGATATCAACTCCAGTATACACACTTCCTCCACTGATCCAAATCAGCAAATTTCCTATAAACTATGTAACTTAAAGAGGTACCTGGAGCACTGAGAGGTTCAGTAAATGATTCTGCAAGAGGCACAGAACTAGGATGTATCAGAAACAGGAGGGGAACCAAAGCCTCCTTGACCTTGCAAGGTCAGCTCTCTCTTATGATGATAACCCACTGTGATACAGCCCTCTGTCTTTCCTCCAATTTCTCCCTGGTCTTTAGCCATTTCACTCCCTCCTGGGGTTTCCCAAGTTCACTATTGCTCTATTCTTATTTGGTCGATCTAAGAAAATCCTAGGATACAAGGGTTGAAAACGACCTTAGCCAGTATATGAAATACGTTCCAATAGAAACAAAGAGCAGAAACCACTTACAAGACACAGAGGCACAGGGCTCCAGGTACTGACTCGCTGTCTCTTAAGAGAAACTTGCCATCTTTTCCCTCCTGGAGCAGTAAAGTCTCACAAGCGATTTTGGTCAAAGGGCCATGGTAATAGGGTAGGTCCATGGAGGGAGCTCAGCAGTCCCTACTGGTGAAGAGCCGTGACCCAAGGAGGGAGGTCTGAAGCAGTCACTTAAAAATTTCTAGCTGTATAGCAGCAGTTTCTTCCACAACAGCGTTGGGCTGTGTGTGTGTGTGTGTGTGTGTGAAGTGAACTTGGGAGGGTGAAACCTGGCCTGAAACAGGAAACACAGAAACTAAGGGTGATAAAAATGACCACTACGTCTTTATAAAGGAGAAGAACCCACATGATTTTAGTAAATTAACAGCTCCAAAGCATCAAATGCTTTGACTTACATAAAAAAAATCAGTCACGGAACTCTTTGTTGTTCATTATGTGGTTGGGAGTTTTAGACCCTGGGGAGAGAGCCACGCAGGCCAAAGATTCAAAAATAGCCATGGCTATGATGGCTGGCCACATCCTTCTACTTGCTCATGCTCATTCCCATAGAAATCACCATTGTCCTATCATTAGAACATTAAAGGTGTTTCATGAATAGGCATTAAGGGCGAATGATCACAGCATCATAGATTTAGGGCTGGAAGGAATCTTAGTGGCCATCTGATCCAACCCTCTTCATTTTATAGATGAGGGAATTGAAGTCTGAGGACATTAAGTGACTTGTCCAGGGTCACCTAAGTAGTAAGTGGTTGAAGCAGAAACTGACCCTGAACTTGGGCAAATCCCTTTGCCTCTCTAGGCCGCAAGATTCTCATCTTATAAGGCCTCTGAGGTCCCTTTCCATTTGTGATCCTAAATTGACAAAAAAAAAATAGGTTAAAAATGATAAAAGTCAACTTTGGCAAGGTTGTTGGGGAATGAGTGGAGTAAGGAACTGGTTTGATCTTTTTGATCTAGCAATATCTATCTTCAATATCTAGCAGTAAGAAGTTACAGTTGATTATACCAGTTAGCCCAATGATTCCCACAATTAAAACTATCCTTAATATATATATTAAAAGTTAAGGATTTATCTGTGCAAAAATCTTTATAGTGGCTTGATAAGACAATAGGGAGCAGAACTGTAATCTCATTTGTATAGGGAACTACCAAATGAGGATTTAATTATTAATTAAATATTAATGCAGGTCATCTCTTTCTCTGAAACTTGGGGTTAGAGAGCTGTTCTCTTGAGAAATTTAGGGATTTAGCCAGGGTCATGGTTAATTAAAAAAAAAGCCCTTCTTAATTGGTTACTCTGTGCTAAACAGGGATGATTGGTGATGATGATGATGATGATGATGATAATAAAATTATATCTCCCCTTTAGTAATTTTCATTCTGATGAAATGTGCCAGGCATAGTACTTAAACTCAGGTCTTTTTGGCTCTAAGATAAACTTATACTCCTCAGGATTCTCTGGAATCATCTTTTCTCATTTCTTACAATAATTTTCTATTATATTCATATGCCACAACTTGTTCAGCCATTCCCCCGTGTCTAAGAGGCTTCTACTTGGATTCTAGTTCTTTTCTTACCCCTTTCAGGATCATGAAGTGTCTGAGGCCTGATTTGAACTTAGTTCTTCCTGACTCCAGGCCCAGAATTCTAGTCACTGTACCACCTACATGCCAACTCGGCTTAGAATTTGATTTAATGTTCACAAAACTCATTTCTTTGAGCAGAGGAGTAACCTGTGCGTTAGGACAGAACAAGGAACAATGGAGAGAAACAGTTGAGATAGAGGAGGAGAAAATGGGAACCTTTTCCTGATGCCAGTCCTAACTTCACTAAGTTCAAAGAGAAGCTGAGATAAAGCGAGTTGGATAACTAGTTGCTTGGATAGACTCGAAGAGTTATAACTCTTTTTCTGGTTTCCTTTTTCTTTTTTTCAGTAATAGAACTCTCAAGAGGCAAACCAGCCCCAAGGGTATTGATTCACTCTATTGTCTGATTTTCTTTGATTTTCTGTTTTGCCATTATCCATGTAAGAGAAAGACAATTCATTATCTAAGTGTCTAATCTGCTTTACGTGAATCTAAATTTCCTTGATTCAGATTTCTCCCTGGAGATTTATAAACTGAGGATGGATAATGAAGAATCTAGATAACCAGAGTTCATCCCTTCTACACTGATCCTTCAGTAATACATACTTTATGTCATTTGCCGTACAATTTACAAATACATCATCTGCCATAAATTTGAATATAGAGAGTCAGGGCCTTGTATGGAAGGCATGGGTTAAGGATTATTCCAGACTGAATAATATGTGTCACTTTAAACCACTTTAGGACTAAGATCCTAGATGGATCAGAATTAGAGAATGATCTTAGTGTTTCGTTTCCTTGTTCAACTTTTTAGAAATCTTTCTTATCAAAATCATAAAATGTTACCACTTGAAGGCACTTTAGTTCAAATGCCCTCATTTTATAGATTAAACGAGAACCAGAAAAGGGAAGCAACTTACACATAATCATATGTATAATTAATATCAGAGACAGAAAAAGAACCTTGTCTTAAATCAGTCAATACTTATTAAGCACTTACTATATGCCAGGCACTGTGTTAAGTTTTGTGGATACAAAAAGAGGCTAAAGATAATCCCTGCTATCAAAGAGTTTAAAATCCAATGAGAGAGACAATATGCAAACAAATATATAAAAAGCACTCTACTT